TTGTTGTGATTGGCGTCTTCTACCAAAAAGCACAAATTGCTTTTGTTGATAACTTTTGCATCAAACACAGATGTGCCTCTTGACCAGTTGTCTTTATCCGAGTCAAACACAACACTTGCAATCTTCATTCCCGTCAACTTCTCAAGACCAGCTTTTTCTTCAAGTGTGACGTGTTCTCTCTTCATTCTCCCAGCTTCTTCTTTATCATCGTGTTGTTTCTTCGCATTGATAAATTTCTCTGATTTTATAATTTGATCAATTGTATTGTTCTTAATTTGTTTGATTTTGTTGATTTCATCTTCAAGTGGTTTTGTGTCCATTTTACACTTCTCCTCATAAAGTACAATTTTGATGCTGAATATCTCATACAACTTTTCATTGTCGCTTTGTGTTGAATAAGTAGCCATTTCACTTTTGATTTTGTTGGATGCGTTATCCAAATCAGTGACGATTGTGTTGAGTGTAGTTGTGATGTTCTTCTTTCTCTCAAATACCTCATCGAGTCTGTCGAAGTGTCCTTCTGCATTTTCGATGCGTTGATCGATGTTAAGTGACTTGTCGTCAACAAAGTTGTATTCCCCTTTATTTTTGTTGAGGTCTGACACCGCCTTTGCTGCGTTAGTGCAGAGTGCTGAGAGTGCTGTTAACTCGCTTTCCATTGTATGTTAATGAGTTTATTTCTTTTTATATTAATTTTATATAATTCTCATTCAAAAACATTACCTCATTTATAATAATTTTTTTTCAATTAAAAACAAAAAATAAAAATATTAAAACTTACTTAAATGATTTTAATTTCTATTAAAAATTATTCAAGATATGTAATTAAACTTAAAACCACAGAATTATAAATGTAATTTTTTAACTATTAAAGTAATAAATAAAAAAATACATAGATATTGTTATAATTGCTAAATAATTATTTAACTATCAATATGACTATAAGCAAACTCAATATTTGTTTTTGATAATTTTTATTTTTTTAACTAAATTTTGTTTATTTATATGTTGCCATTAAAAAGTTTAACAAAAATAACACATAAATAATGATAAATGATTTTTATAAATCTTATAATCCCTTATATCCCCTTATATTTTCACTTAATATATAAAAGCAAAATCGGTATATTTATTTATTTACAATTACTATTCTTATTAGTTTTATACTATTAAGTGTCTACTATATTAATGGTTAATTTTACTAAATATAATGGTAAATTGTGATTCTGTTTAAAAAACGATAGTTAATATTTTTATCAACTATCGTTTTATTATACTTTGATTCCATAAAAAATAGAAATTTATTTTAATTAAATTAACTAAATAAATAAACAAACAGACACACACATGTCATTTAAAATAAAATCACAAGAAAATAACAAGAAAAATGTAAAATAACACATAAACAAAAAAAGACGAAAAAGTTATAAATCGAGAAAGAAGAGTTATTTTAAAAACGAAAAAGCAAAAAAACAAAAAAATATTTTTTAAAAAATCAATATAATCAACTTTTTTTCAATTGTACAGTTGGTCTATTAAATTTTCGTCCAGCAAATTAACTTTAGCCCAAAGAAAACCAATTATTTTTATATTTATATTAAACAAATAAACTATACAATAATAAAAGTCAATTTTCTAAAATATTTGTTTTAATAGTATAAACCCATGTTTTTCAAAAAAATACAATTTTTTGGACTTAGGTTTATTTTCTAAACTGTAGTTTTATTTATTTGAAAAAAAATAAATTCTGTTAACTTGATCAAGTGTTAATATTAAGTATATTCTTTTTGTACTTTTTTAAGGTGAAGAGGAAAAATAACAGCTTATTTAAAAGAAAGAAGTACAAAAAGAATATAGTAAATGAATTATATATAAAAAAATTATAATAGTACAAAATAACTATAAATTATTATAAGTTTTTTGTAAAAACAAATAGCACAAATATTTATACAATTTATTATAATTTAATGGTTTGATAAATCCCACCATTTTTTTAAATCATTATAATTTTAAAAAATGGGACCTACATTGACCACCACCACCACCTTTACCAAAATAAAATATTTGCCGCGAGTGTTTTTGAAGGAAGTCCA